CAAAACAAGTGTGACTGACAGCATGTGAGTTTAATGCCTGCAGCATCCAAGGTTTGCTGTCAGAACAAACACATCAGATCACATCAGCACATCCAGGTCACGGCTGAAGGTGCCTTTTGCTCCGTCTTTGGCAGTGCCTTCGGCTCTGCTTTTGGCTCCTAAGACTGCAGGCTGGAATGGAACAATGATTGAGAAGAATTAGGACACACAAGCCTTGTACCTCGCAATCAGGCCAAGAACTAAGCAAGTTTACAATGGCAATGTATAGTAGTACAAGAATTGTCCCTCTAACGCCTGCAATATGTTGAAAAGCAAAACAAAGAAAGCTGGAAAACCACCTTGAGTAAATCCAGGTCACGGATGCAGCTACCTTCGGCTCTGCTTTTGGCTTTGCTTTGGGTTCCTAAGATTGCGTGCTGCCATAGGAAAAACTAGTACTTCACACATTTGGGACACACAAACATCACAGTAGCTGAATTGGCAATGGGCCGCCATATTTGGTCTACAACATGATAGGAAGTTGATAGCGTCAAGTGTTGGAGTAACAAATATCGAAAATGTGCAGATCGACTAGCAAACTATACTGGCAAATCCAGGTCACCGCTGCCTTTGGCTGTGCCTTCGGCTCTGCTTTTGGTTCCTAGGATTGCATTTGTATACATCTGAAGCTTCTAACATGTGATTATGCAAAGAACAATTGGGACAAACAAGCGTTTTGGCTCTCCTTGATCCTTGTTTGGCATTCAAGTTGAGAACTGAGAGCTCCAAAAAACAACACGCACTTCTGGTGTCAGCAACTTAGTCATATACATTTATATATATACATATATGAGAGAGATTATCAGGTAGCACACACAAACATAACAAAACACTTTGAACGCATCCAAGGGCACTGCTGCAGGGGGTTCAGCCTTGGGCTCTGCCTTTGGCTCCTAGGATGCTCGGCGAAGTCTGTCTCAACTTGGCAAGCCCTTGGAACTGAGTGCACTGTTTTCAACAACAACTACGGCGGTCATGGCCCCACATCGGCATTCTGAACACGGGTTCAGATCATGATGACATGATCTTAAGGCACCAACAACTTGGATTCAGGACCTCTGTTCCGGATGCATATTTGTCATCTTGGAGAACTTGAGAGTAACCTAGGGGTTCTCCATCTAGTTCCAGCTAGCTCCTTTCCCTAACTCTTCATCATCGACGCCTAGCTCCTTTCCGCTGAATGCAGCTCAAGCAGGCTGCTCCGCGATGGATCCGGCATCGACGATAGTTCTTTAGCACTGCTTTTACGCAATCCTGATATCATATCGATATCTGCTTTCAACTGATCAACTGTTTGTAGCCAGGGGAGAGGATTCTTTGGAGAATTGCAGGAACAAGAACCGAATTACCTGGGGGTCACTCTTGCCTCTGGCACGCAGTCTTACTTGGGATGTATAGTTCAGAAGTCTTACCTGGGGGTCTCCCTCTTCTTGCTCCACCTCTGCCTGCTCCAAGCCGCCGGCGCCTTGGGAGTGGCCTCGGTGGCGAGTACGTAGGTGTGCTGCTCCTTCATCCTCCAATAGGGCTTGGAAGCGTAATTCCGCGCACGACGCGTACCTACAGGTGTTCATCCATGTTCATCTGGCTTGAAAGCCGTGATTACGAAGTTTGCCAAGCTGGGTTTGGTCGCTGCGGTTTTCTGGGTGCCGATTCTCGGTGCTGTTCCGAGCGGAATTTTCCAACATCAGGGTGCCAGCACAGGAGGCAAAGGACGACCAACTGAACTGATCTCCCCTGTCATCACCTTATTCCGTTCGACTCCCCATAGTGCAGTAGTCTTTTGTATGTTTTGCACTTCTGCACGATCCGTACGAAGGAAACACTTCAACTCACTTCAACTGGTCTATAGGTTGGAACCCCAATTCCAAAAAAGAAACTGCCGTTCTTCGAGTCGGACCTCCAGACCCTCCGTGGCGAGGTTTCTTCGGAACCTTCGTCGCGGGCCCGGGGGATCGTCAGAAGCACCACTGACTACCACTGACCAAAACAACCACACCAATACAGACACCAACATCACAATAACCAGGAGTCACAAAGGGGTGGTGTTTAGTCCCTAAGTGAGTGGATAATGGGCACCCTTAACCTCCATTAAGCACCCCTTTGTGACTGCTGGAATATATATCATATATCATATATATATATATATATTCATATATATCACATATTATCTCCATCAATACCATACAAGTTTGTCTCTGATTTGAAGAGCCAAAACACATGAAGACAAACCGCTGATGTTTTCGCCGTCGCAGGGTTCGAACGTCGGTTGCCGTTCGTTGTTCGCCTCGCCCCATTCGCTCCAAGGTGCAGCTTTCGCCTTAGGGGACCCCTCTGCCTTTGCCTTTGCCTCAGTCGATGGGCATCTCTGTTGGCAGACAATGAACGCCGATGGAGCAGTGAATCGGCTTCTGCTGATCGGCGGTGGCGATCGGCGCAAGCCGCCGCGCGGTTGGCAAACAGCTGCTTTGACGACCGAAGGGACACGGTCAGACCGAACCGACCAGAATCATTTCACATGACCGACCAGACTCCTTCCACGAGACGATGGCGGCAAGCCAACTACTGTACTCATTCCTACACGCACCAAAAAAGAAAGAAACACATCGTGGTCCCCAAATAGATAGAGACAGTTTCCAATACATGTCTTGTGGTGATCTACTTTTCATTACATTACTACTAGTCTATCTATTTGGGAAATACTATATATATATATAGTGCCACCATAGTACCACCAGGTGTTGATGTTCCATGAGTATCGCAGCGACGGTTATAAAGCAGTCCGTCCTCTTCGAGTTGTACAACCCCCGGAGGATGAACATAGAAGCCCTGAAAGCAAACCTCCAGAAGAGTGATCTGCCCTACAGACCAGTCAAACCCAAAGGTTCCGCCCCATCCCTCTGCCCCATCCCTCATCACGCCGTTTCTGTGTTTCGTCCTGCTTTTGGGTCCCAGGGGCCACTCCAAAGGGCGACGAGCCCGAGGAGCGACTGCTCTTGGCCGCTGGGGACGTGGGACTCCCCGGCGTGATACCGGGTGCTTTGGCCATGGGCGAGGTCGCCACCTGAAAGTTGGCGCCGGGTCAAATGAAATTCAGGCCAGACCCTCTTGGGTTGGAGGCCATCGCTAGTACCGCCACCGGCACGCCAGGGGGGTGTCCCCTTCTGCAAGTAAAATGCCATCGCTAGTAGGTTGGAGGCCATCGCTACTAGGTTGGTTGGAGGCTCGCTGGTTGAGGAGCTGTGTATGATTCCTGTGCCTGACTGCCTGTGGCAAAAGAACAACACACTCATTTGAAAAGCCATAAGGATTCAGAGTGAAGGACAGCCTAAGGACAAGCATCTGAACCTAAACATCCATCCAAGAGCCTGCAGATTGACATAGGCTCGCCAAGTGTTCACTGGTCAATATGGTTCCCAGAGTTCCCAAGCATGATTTTGCGCATCAACAGCGGGTTGGGGGTTACTTTAGAGGGCAAGCCTGGAAAAAGGGAATGCAAGATTCGGTATACACCTGCACCTTGACACCTGGAATCTAGGAGCGTCGAACATTGGGCAATCCCCTTTTCACTTTGGAACCTGCCTCTTGAGGCCATTCAAACCGCATCTTCCAGATCTGAACTGCAGGCCATTCTGCCTCCAAACGACGAACTCGTGACCGTGTCGTCGGCATCACCCGGTGTGAACTCCATCGCACCTGGGTTGGTCGCACGAAGATGCCATGGTTCGCAGGACAAGAGAAGTAACTCACATCCTTCACCGTGCCATCGTTCCTGTAGGCAAGGGCAAGGCAGACCGCAGGAACGTGGAGATTGGCATTTTGGGCGAAATGAAAACATCATTGGATTTTCAGATGCCGAATATGGAAAATGTGGAATTCCTTCTAGAATTCCTTCAGCACCCATAAAAATAGACTGGATGTTGTGTGGATGTGGGGGACAAGCACGTGAGCTTCAAAACGCAAGTGTCAACCAAGGGTAATCAACTCTCACCACATAGGCCATCTTCACCCTTGTTTCCACCTGCACCCCTGAGCCAAAGATTTGGGTGAACATCAGACTTCCACATGAAACTCAATCTGCTGAATTACTGATTCACCTGCACCCGCCCAAACACCCAAATCAGGCCGATTTTTTGAACCCGATCTCTTTCTTCGCGCACGGCGCGCCTCCGCAAACGCGCTTTCTTCGCGCGCAGCTGCGCGGACGCGTGCACAGAGCTCCTGCCGACGGGTTCTTCCAGCTCAATGCCCACCCAAGTGCCCCCAGCGAACTCCGTCTCGCCGCAAAAGCGGACCTCGGACCGCTCGAACAGAGTCTGAATTGAGATCCAGTCGAAGTTTGGTTCTTTGAGTAAGCCCCCCAACAAATGGAGAGGTGCCAGATGTTTGTTGCCTTGGGAGTCCAGTCGAATATGCCAAAAAATCTTCTGGCGAGGGGATCTGAAAAGGAATGTCCAAGAAACTGGTGCCAAATATATCCAAATCATTACAGTCTTTGGATGTCTTTGGACTTTGGTAGATGCATATGATCACCTTCATTCTCAAGACGACTCAAAGGCCCTTGGCTTTTCGCCACGTACTCTTCAATTCGATGTGGAGATGCTTCCAGTTGACCAGATCCTGGTGGGTGGAAACAGCGGAACGATTCTTTGAGAGACCACCGGTTCATGAGGCGAAGTCCACTTCTTCTGGGTGGAACGATGCCCTCTTGATATCACTTTGGCACCAGACGGGTGTGTATTAAACATTATTAAACCAAGGAGACTTCCCAGGCAACGACCCCCAAGAAGGCCAGCAAACCAGTCTACCATCCAAAGCCAATTGGGCCAGCGGGGTTCCCTATCAAAATACACACCCATAATAAAATTTATATATATTTATATAATATAAACTCGTTCCTGTCCAGTGGCCACCCCACTGCGGCTGCTCACGTACACACGTTGGCCAATGGTGAAGCCTCACAACGCCAGTCGCGGAGCTCTCTCCGGTGAATCCCATGTCTTTGATGCTTCCCTTGCCCAGCTCGAAAACGATGGTCTCCCCACTCTGAAAGATGATGTGGATGGCACAGACCCCAAGGTCGGTGGTGCAATGATGGACCCCCATCTAAAGGACATGTAGAGGGAAGTTGCGATGAACTCTGAAACCACCAGACCTTGTGCACACATAATATATGGAACATGATGGAACCATCCATGGCGTTTGGGATCAGATCGGCGTCATGATGTCTTTGTTTTGCCGTGCCTGCCCGCTGAGGTCTTTTTTGGGAGGCTCGGTACTCTCGGTCAGAGGTCGTCACCCCAGGAGAGAACTTCCAAAAGCGGTTTTGGGGGCGGAGAGTTTTGAAAAGAGCTTTGTGTCGTCAGGAACTACCAATCGTGAAGCCCCACCAGAGTTTTGGGGGTTCCGAACCTGTCTGAAATCAGAAGTCAGAAGACAACGAGGAAAATGGTGGTTTCATGTGTTTTCGGTACCGGTGGACCCAATGGAGCTGAAGGAGAGGAGAGAGTTCACACCCCAGGCCACCGCGCCAGATGGAACATCCAGCTCTCTCATCTCCCGTCATCGTTCGGAGAACTCCCTCCCTGTGATCCACGGTCCTCCCAGTGATCCACTGCGGTCCGCATCTTCCACGCCTGCTTCAGCCATCTTCTCCCCGTGCACGGGTGGCCATCGGCGGAAAGCAGGCGGACTCACGCACGAGTCGGTGAGGGAGAGTTGGATCTCCTAGGGAGCTTGGGCAATATAGTGATCCCCAAATAGATAATGGCGCGGTGTCCAATACATTTTCTACGTGGGGATCTACTTTTCTATCTAGACATGGGGGGTCTATACAAATGTCCAGCTCGGTGCTGAGGCAGGCTTGTCGGATTCTCCCTAGACCTTCGCTCGAAGACGGGGCAGAGTGTTAATCCAACATACAACTCCCATCTGCGATGTTGGAATTGCGGAATGCTTGGCTTCAAGCTTTCTGCGGCGGAATGGACCCTGTTCTTAGTGGAAAAAACATACGCTGAAGTATTAGATTGGGTGACCAGTGGACGTGGTACCTAGCAAAAATGTGTTGTACTTTTGAATGGCAAAGCGTCTCAGTCGAGGTCACAACCAGCTGCAAAGACAATGACACACACGTGTATCTCGAGAAAATCATCCAGGATCATATCTGATTCTAATGCTTGCAAATATATATATATATAACTATACAATATGAATACAATCTTAATGTGCACGTGTGTTATTCATTGTTATTCCAACGCCGGTTGCATGCGTTCAGGAATACTGTCACGGGTGTTAAACACACGGTGTCTGTGCTGTTTGTGGGTGAATTTGGTGAACAACAATGGCTTGCATCTTTGAACCGCAGCTGCCAGGCGAGCGGTATTTCAACCATTTTGGTGTTGCTGCAGTGAGAGGCAGATCTTGAGGATGACAGGCTGTACCCAAGCTTCCTGAAACTAGAGGAATCAATTGGTTCCAAGTTTTCCTTCACTCGGATCTTCTGTGGCCATCCAAGGGTTCCACAGCCAATTGGGTTTCAAAACAATCCCCTAAGCAAAGCACCACAAAGCCACCATGTCAAAAGGATGGCTCCACGGCAACTTGTGATTTACGTAGTTGTAGCTGACACTTCGAACATCCAAACTACTTGGACCCTCCGAGAAAATGGCCGATGACGTACTCATGAGTCCTTCAAAGCCCCGGTACCGTAGTTTTCCTATTCCCAGACACTCCATGTCTGTCATATATGCCGCCCCATTGACCCCTCTGGCACCACCACCACCCCAACTGATCGGTCAATACGGCAGTCCCATTAGTCGTGTTTGGGATTCCGATTTCAGAAGCAGGGCGTCTCTGGGGCGGTCTCCGGTCACGGTCTAGTCGAACTGGGGCGGTTGAGTGGTCCATCGGACATCGCCCAATCCGGAACACCAATGGATTAACCACCAACTTGAAACACCATAAATCAAGCTCCCTGGGTTGACATCAAGAGTCCCTACTCTTCGCAGTTCCAGTTCGGAGTCAATGATGAAACTTCATGAAACTTCTGCTGGGTGGAACATCATCGACTCAGGGGATGTCTGCTCCAAAACTAGGACAAATGGATGCCACTATGGACTATGGATGCCAAATGGCTTGGTCTCAATCTACCAGCTAGCCATTTGGCCCTTTAGCTAGAATCTCCTTAGCAGGCTCCAGCTTGTACCCCATCAGGCATGTGGCACTGTTTTCGGGTGATATGTTCTAAGACACAGCCGTGCGACAATCCACCAACAAAAATGAACTTTCACGCATTTAGCAGTAATATATGAACAGCGAACCCAAAAGCAACCAATCTTTGAGATGTCAGAAAGAATCTAATAAGTTCTGGTCCCCCAACATCTCCCTAACATCCCCCACTCCAACAAGCCTCTTCAGCTCGCTGCCTCCAGGTACCGGTCTCCAGGTCAAAGTCAAAGCCCTGGAACGTCCGGTGGGGCACCGAACTTCGCACCGGTTCAGGCTGGGCGGCGGAGGTTCGGCTTCGTCCCCAGGCGAAGAAAAACGGCACGCGGGTCCCGGACGTGCCGCGTGCGGCGTGCGGTGAGGAGCCAAGTTGCGCCGCATTCGGGGATAGACTCGACCACGGGCATCGGGCGACCGTGCCCGGGGTGGGGGGGTGACCAGACGATGGAAAGCACGGAGCCCGGGTGGGGCCGCACCTGGCGAACGCCCGAAGCGTCGAACCGGTTCGACCGTTCTGCCTGCTTTGGGCTGCGTCACTCTCGTGGGCGTGGAGGCCTTGCGTCGCTGTTCCTGCGCTGTTCGAAAACGAGCGGAGCACAGGAAGGAGGGGCCCTTCGGTGATATGGCACCTGCTGTGGTTTGGGATGGCTTGGCCATGGTGCCAGACGTTGTTTGCACGTGCAACGCTGCAAACATGAGCTATCTGACAAGCATTGACTTCAGCTCTTCTGAACTTCAAACTCATATACTATCTAATAGTCAATGCTTCTGTTACAGCGAAGTAATTGGGGACCTGGTGACACGTCTGGTGAATCCAGCTGGCTGAGCGTCATGTAGGATAAGCCCTTTTCGGGCGCCCAAGGCCGCGTATGCAGTCAGACTGTTCAGAGGCGTAGGAGTCATGATCTCACAAAGACGTAGACTCCGTGGAGTCCCGTGGAGTCAATGAAAGAAAGCCGAAAATTGCGAGATCGCACATGGGAGGACTGTCGGACAAGCTTACCAACCAAATTGTATTGCTTAGACCGGAGCCCCCGCAACTCGGGGTGTCTAATTATGGATCCTTAGAGGTGAGATGAAAAGTGATCGTTTTGGGCAGTCTGGTCGTCTTTCAAGCGAGACCGCTATCCTGATTCATTGAACCTTCTCACTAACCTTCTCATATTACAGTACCTATATATTGAATGTCTTAACTGTTCACCATGGATTTCAAATCACTGTATGCATGGTTCTTGATTGCCTGTGGTTCAGAGAGCATCACATTTTCCTTGTTCGGGCAAATAGCATTGTTCCGCAAGAACCTGTGATTGAAATACCAAAGCTTCCCTGACTGAAACAAAAGCAGCTGCATCTGGCTTCTGGTTCCCGTTGTTGGTGAACAAATAGGTACCTTCGACTCAAATGGTTTGGCAGCTTCTTCAGTAAGTGAGAACCTTATATTATGAGAACCTTCTTTATCTTGCTGAGCGGACTGCGAATCTGGTTCGGAGTGAGAACCGAAGCAAAAGCGTGGATGACCGAAGCAAAAGCAGCTTCCCTAACGCTTCTATTCCTCGGAAAACCTGGTGCCATTGCATGGAAAGTATTGGAAACTACTAACTGTCGACAACTGTCCCCCTGAATGGACAGCAGGACCACTTCCGGAAAACCTGGTGCTTCTGCAGTTCTACTCCATTTCGGCCATCCATTGCCCATGGGTCCGCATGGCCTTGAAAAAAGCACAGGTCCAACCAGGACCAATCAGAATGCTTCCCGCTGCTTCCCTAACTTACAGTCTCATCTCTCCCACCGACAAAACCCGGTTCTTCGGAGTTCGGACTTCGCACATCGAAACAGAGATTCACCTAAGGTCTGAAACATATTGGGTCACCCCCAAAGACCGGAAGGAAAACGAACCCAAACGCAACTGGGCCAGGGGGTCTTCCTATTCAAAAACACACACGGCCCTTGAGTAGTTCGAGGGGGTAGTTCAACACACACACCTCCACCTCTGTCCACGTCTGGCTCCTGGTGGCGGAACGCCTCCGCCAAAGGCATGAGACTTTGCTCATGCTCCTCTACCTGGAGATCGGAGGAGCGCAGCGGGACATGCTCCACCAAGAATCCCCGAACCAAGGGGACATGATGAAGGAACCAGGCCGCATGTCAGCCGTGACTGTCAGCCTCCAGGCCTGGTGTTTCCTGTGTGAACATATCTTCCGGTGAAGAACATATATCCGCACCCTCCAACAGGTGCTTTTTTGTGTGTGTTCTAAGTCCGGTGCCCAGAAACCACTGGTGTCCCTGGCCAGTGGCCAGGAGGGTGATGATGGTTTTTCGAGGGCGGTAAGGGTGCCCCAAACATCCACTCACTGAATGCGGCTAAGTCTGTTCACTCAAAAACACCTGCACCGGCACATGAACACCTACCATTCGGCTTTTGGTTTCCCGAGTCCATGTCCAGTCCCAGGTGCCGTGGCTCCGCGTGGCTCCAAGAATCACCCGAACCGGAATCCCCGCTGGCGATGAACTCCTCTGTTCGAACGAGTCCAATTCCGCGACCAATTCAGGAACCGAGTTGCACCGTAATTCTGCCAATCTCGGCCGCCCTGTTTCGCTAGTTTGCAAAAAAAAACATACAGTATAATAACCAGCACAACCCAAGGGTTGTTTATAGACCCCCCTGACTATCTATGTTCCATCAGCCACCCTTTGGAACTCATGGAGCTCCTCTGGGCTGAGCATCCCAGCCCGAATCCATAGCCGGGTCAAATCTTCACTCACTGCGCTGAGCTCCTCCGCGGTCCACGGGCAGAGCGAGAACGGCCTGGTGTGGAGTGTGGAGAATCAAAGGCCCTTGATCCAAGGATGGTACTCCGTGGTACTCCATAGCAAAGGTCCTTGGGCTGCGTGTAAATTGCGACGGAATCCGGTGTTTTTTGCGACGGTAGGCCGAAATGTTTTTCAAAAGTGATCGTGGAGTTCGTTGCAAAAAACACACTAGACAAGTAGGAATAACACTACTGTTTGGAATTACACTGGTTTCCGTCGCAATTAACACACGTCCCAAGGTCCTTGGTATCTCTTTGTGCTGGTTGATTTGTCGCCAAAGTTTGTCACTAGAGTCACTAGAGCCAAGCATTCAGGGTCTCCGGCACTGCTTGGTTTCCTTGCCAGCATGAGTCTGACTCGCGAAGCCAGTCCTTACCCAAGGTCATCTCTGACCACTCTGCAGAAGCCTGCAAAACGGGCAGTGACATCCGTTCGTCGCAAGTGCCAACACAGAACCCTAGGATGTAAGGACACGCGATACGCCGATTTCTTTCAAAGTCGGACGTCCTTTGAAAAGCACTGAGAGAATTGAAGGGGAACCCGTGACTTGCCTTAGCATCAACACACCGGCCACTTGGAATTGAGCCAAACACCACTTAAGCGCTTTTGGGTCAAGCCATCTCTTTGCCTCCCGTTTTGGTGAAGAGAGCTCGAACCACGAGCCGCCTGGATCCACAGGCGTCCAGAGGTTCATAGAAGTGGGGAAACCAATCCCCAAAAACGGTTCATCCACTGAGTGCATAGGTACATCGTCCACACGTCTCTGACCAAAAACGTAGAAAAGTTACTCTCAAAACGTGCAGGACCCCATCCTCCAACATTCACCAGACGAAAACCATCGGGAAAGAAGCCTTCATCTTTCAATATCAGTCTAGCTGTCATAGAGTTCATTAGATTTCTATATATACCTGGAACCCAATTGACCCCTGTTTTGATCGGAAGTTTGGCCATAAAATATGGGTGGTTGGTGCTCCAAAATAGAGGTCATGACCTGGTTCTAGGTGTATATATATATATATATCGGTTCCTTATTGCCTGACAAACACCCCGTCTCTTCCGTCCCTCTCTCCGCACCTTGCTATACAGACGCTGGGTGCGCTCGCCCAGGTTCTGCATCGATTGATCGGTGACCAGCTCCTTCGGTGGGACTTGAGAGACCGCAAGAGTCAAACCGGAAGTGATGGGTATGTGCGCCAGTACGCCATGATGAAACAAGTCAATCTTGGAAAGATGGTGGCACTATGTGGCACTGGAGAGTTGATGAAAGAAGCACATGGGTTTCACCAAAAACAAAGGAGACTTCCTGAAAAACAGGAGCCGCCCGCTGAAACAGAAAAAAGGCATCCTTGGCATCCTTGTCATCTCTAGTCTATGTTGGTTCCATCTCCCGACCGGCTGAAGAACTGGCATCCTTGGCATCGCTCAGACCACACCAGGACCTCGTCGCCTCGTCGGACCGGAAGACCTATCATCACCGGTAAACCAAGTCCAGATTCATACCCAAACATTTTAGATATTTTATGGGATGGCAGCACATTGACTCCTTTTCAACCACACATAACCACACCAATGTAGCTAAATAGATGGTAAACCCCCCCAGACCTACCTTTTTGCACTGTTCAGTGGTATTTACAGTGGATTCTGCACATTTTGAGATCATGCTTTTGAGGTCCTTTTTTAAGTTGAAGTTTTTGATGGATTGCGGGGGGGCATATATATATATACAACATATTGCATACATAAGGTGTGCAAGCACACGTTGAATTAAAAACCGTGCAAAGTTTCAACCAACATATTAGGGAACTAAAAAAAAGAAAATATTAAAGCTAAGCTGCAGATAGTACTGATAAGAAATTATAGAGAGTGGCTGTGGATGGCTATCACACGAGCTAGGGATTTAAGCAGAGTTAAGTGATCTTTTTAATTTATGACAGTGATGATACTGAAAATGAATTCAATAAACCATGTATCACAAGCTATTTCAATAAGCGGGTTGAACAATATAAAATACAGGATAGAAAGGGCAAAAGAGACATACCTAATGAAGATTATATTCATGCCCGATGGTTTATGAATAATATAACAAATCAATGTAATTACTGTGGATGCGGATTTAGATTGTATATATAGATAGTAGAAAGGGAAGTATATCAACTGCATTACTTTCTGTCAAATATGTAGTAGTATTGTTTGTTTAACGCATACTTACACAATATATCAAAATATGTGTAAAAACGATGTAAAAAGTATAATGGATACTACTAAACAGAACTGCAAAGGGTGTCAGAATAATAGAACATTAGAAAGATTTACTGAAGGGTTTAAAACCTGCGACAGTTGTAGAGCCAAACAATCAAGAAGATATCACGATAATACAGAATGAATACTGCCAACAAAAAAGGAAAGAATGGAAGGAAAACAACCCCGAAAAGAGTAAGGAATGAAAGAGCAAAAGCAAAGGCATCAGAAAAAACTATTATGTCTTACCATTATGTGAATATGATGTCCAGTGGCGCCAAAAAAAAAGAAAAGGGAACCCTCCATCAAGAGAATGTCAGAAAACAAACTCATCCAGAAGAGTTGGAAAGTGAAGATGAACCAAACAGTACAGTAATATTTTGACAAAGAGGGACGCACATGTTATAGCTGTGTTGTGTGTAAATATCCTTAAATTTGGCCTTCTCAATGGACACCACACATAAGGACTGAAGCACATAAACACAACGACTCAGGTAAATCTATTTTAGGAATATCTAATGTTCAGGTGCAACTGCAAAATGCTATCTGCTTCACAATATGCCCTGCAAGTCCCAAAAAAGTAGGTCTTGGGTAGCTATATGTTATATATTATATTATAATACATGGTTTAAATAATTCAATGATATTCAATGGAGTTATATATGAATGCTATCTGTCACCATCACCACTTTATTCCACTTGGCTTCGGAGTGGACCACCTGGAACCCCTCGTCGTTTCGTTGCATCGTCGCACCACACCTCCAAGTGTCGCTGCATCTGCTCAAAGCGACGTCCCATGTCAGAGACCTCACACATCGCCGATCTGTGCAGGTCTGAGTCTGTCCACGTCGACTGGCACCATCTTCCCCCAGCGGAGTCACCTATAGGGAACACACAAAAAAGCACCTTCATTAAGCAAAACCCGGTGAAGGGTTAGATCCAAAATGGTTTTATACTGGTTAAGAGGCCAATCATCGCGCCTGGAGTGGGAAAGCTTTGGAGAACATGAAGGAGAGGCAAGGACTCATGTGACATACGGAGAGATCGGAGATGCGTTTAAACTTACAAGGGGGTTGATGGTTCCGTTAGACGAAGATCCGATGGTGACCATTTTGTACTGCCTCGAAGGAAATTCAGTTCTGCAAAACGCCGCCTTCCCAGAATCCTCGAGGTTCGACCATCCAAAAAAGGCTGCTTTCAGGGCGTCTGGGGAGTTCAATCGGAGGTCGCCACCGGCTGACTCGATACATTTCGATACCGGAAATTTTGGTACCTCATCGATTATATCGATTGCCCCAGACATTGCCAGCGGCTTTTGGAAAAGGAACTTGTGTGAACATGACTGCTCTGGTTTCTTCTGGTTTCATGTCGTGTGTGCTTCATGTCATCTTGACATGCAAAGAGCTTCGAGACGTTGGGCCTGGCAGGACAATGAAAACAAATCAAATGCCTCATCAAAATTTCCTAGCATCTTTCCAAACATCCGGGAATATCAAAGGGGAACCAACACAAACCCAAATCTACATCATCAACTACCTCATTAAGATAATCAAATTAAGGTTCTTCAACCAAGGTATATGGAACCTAGTTATGGAACAAGGGTCTGGAACGCAAGTATGGAACACGCTGTGGATCGTGGTCTTTTCTTCGTGGTCTGGAACGAAAGGTCAACCCGCCATTGATCCATACCAAAAGGTTCTGACTCGTTGCCAAATCTGAACCAAAAAGACCACCTCTGAGTGCGAGCATTGTGCGAGCCCGCGCCTGGTCTTCCAGTATGGACATGTCCTGGCCCGCAAAGATGTTCGCCACATGGAAAACGGGATGTCCGGTGGCCATGAGATTCATGCAGCACCTGTTAAATATGTATATAATAGTTGTCAGTATTCCATAATAGTATTGAGCCATCTTACGGTCACAAACAGCGAGAAAGTCAAACAACAACAACAACAACAACAACAACAACAACAACAACAACAACAACAACAACAACAACAACATTGAGCCATCTGAGCTGTCAACCGGGCGACCGATGGCAAAAGATCAAGTAGGAGCTGAAAACAAACATGTCTAAGTCTGGACCATCCAACTGGTCCAATAGAGATCCCCAAGTATTGCGCTGGGTAGTCCGAGATCCTAAGAGGATTAGGATGGTCCTGGTGCATCCTGGTACCTATTAACACTTCTGGCCCCGACATACCGTCAAGACCACCCTGGACACCTTCGAGGTTAAGGGGTGGCCGTCCATTCACTACTCCTTAGCGGGGCCCGGGTATAGATCACTATATAGCCTATATGTTGGAAGTCGTGCCGGCGATGACCTTTTCGGAAGGAGCGAGTTGCGGTTTGAAACTGGCCAGTGACATCCTGAACCCCCCCTTCTTCGCACAGCCCAACCCAAAAAGGATGTTTCGCTGTGTGCTATGACTGTCAAACTGCGACTGCCCTGCCGACTGCCCAAATGTCTTGTCCAAGCCATTGGACCTTTACGAAGCAGCTGGTGATGTTGAAATAAGAGGGGCGCCGTCTGCCCGGACCAGCTTTGGCTGGCCCGTCGATCCCAAAAATCTCGTCCGCCTCGTCCTTGAAGTCTTCAGACTCACGCAGAAAGTCCACCTGCCCGGCCTCACACTGCCCAAGCTGATGGTGGAGATGCTGTTCCCAAATCATCCCCAAACACGACTAATGGGACTGGAATCTATGCCGCCCCATTGATCCCAGGTCAACCAGCCCAATATCGGTATAAAATGGTATAAATCTCTCAGTCTCAGTCGGTGTCTGCGATCTTGCCCTTATTATTAGTAGTTTCTTGTTACTATAGTAGCGATGGCCTCCAAGCTAATACCGATGGCCTCCACCGTGCGTAGTTTCTTGTTCCTAGCAAGCAGCTCCTCTCGTGGTGTCGACCTCCCTCGACTCGTCAACTCACGTTGGGACGTCGGTCGGACGGACGGACGTCCAGTCGACGGGCGATTGGAAGCGAAGGTCAAGTCAACTGCGAAGTCTTCCCCATCGCTTCCTGCGAAGTCTCCCCACTCCCAAGGAGGAAGTGTTGCTTGGAACGGAGGTGTTGCTTGGAACGCCATCCGCACGCATGCGCTGATGGAGCGCCTCATCCGCCTGGACGCCTGGCCGCGTTGGAAAAAGGTAGAAAACATACTGTAACATACCCAAACCATAAACCATAAACAATGTACATTGACCTACATGACCTACATTATAGGTCAATGTAGGTCTTGTATGGAATCGATAATGCCTACATTGACCCAGGTCAACCAAGCAACATGACCAGGGCGCCCCTCCATCGCTCAACCAATGACGCGGCACAATCCCCTGCTACACTAGCCCGAATGGCCTCATTGTTCCAGTTGGTGACAGTGTTTTCCCATAAACTGCACAGCAAGACTGCAACACAAACTGGGATTCAAGAAGCCGTCCCAACAATTAGAGCACAATATTCTATGACAGCAACCACAAGCAGAACCACAAATAACAGCGGCAGCAAGAACAACCAGAACCAGAATCAGAACTAGCAGCAGCAACTGCAATTGCAACAACAACAACAACAACCACAACAACACCATCAGCAGGAACAACAACAACAATTGTAACAAGAACATGTCTTGAAATTGCTGGCAGCATCGCCGTGTTGCAATTTTAAGCACCCTCAAATAGATCAGTTGATTCAGGTGACCACCCCACCCCAAACATCACCAATCTCGCGGCGTTCAGCACTTTAAAGTGATAGGGAGTGTATTGTATGTTCTCTTGATGAAATGGCATGATCTGGAATATGTGCGTATAATTGCGTGTACATATAATCGTGTCACCATGTCCATCTGTTCTTTTTTCCCGACCTGTCAGGTGAGGGTTGTTAGGTTTTATGTCAGGTCCATCTCCTTCTTTTTCTCCTTCTTCTCCTCCTTCTCCTTCTCGTCCTCCTCCGCCGGACCTCAATATGTAATTTTATGCCGCAAGTTCTATAATGTTTTTTTCTAAGAAATTGAGTAATGCAAAAATGGCTCATTAATATACAGTAACCCGTGGCTCGGCGGTTTAGCTTGGCAAAGCCTGGTGGTGCCTGCCCCAGACCCTCGTTTCAAGAACACAAGGCTAGAGAACACAATGTGAATAGACCGTATGAATTGAACATCGATTCACGCTTTGATGTTCGATTCGCGCGTTCGACGCTCGCTCTACCCTCCGGGTGTTCGCTCGCGTCAGAACGCGCGCGGGCTTGGGGTATGGAGGTGATGTGTTGTGGGGGTATGGAAGGTAGCAGTTGAAGTTGCTGAATATGTTTACAATCTACAATTCTGGTATCGATTGTCGTGGCTTGAGGTTTGGAGGAGCTTGCTTGGTGGCCGTGTGGTTTCGCCACAAATTCACCAGAGGCTTCTTTGAATATGTTTCAAAAATCCCGGTATCGTTTTTGTAAACTCGCTGCTTTCTCACATAGACTTGTGAGACGGAGGTAAATTTTTTGCAGCAAATTTTCAAAATTCGGTCGTTCTCACTGACACAGATTTCAACACTTCTGAGAATAGAAACGGTGGGTGGAAGGCAGGGAGGATGTAATGATTTTTGTGTTTTCGTGTTGACACCAATTGTGAAACCAAACATGTGCACTTGCAAGGTTTCTGCTGCGGAAGATGGGTTTTTTTAGTTGGAACTGAAGCCAAAAAGTTTCACTTGCGAGGTATGATCTGAACTTGATTCCCTATGCTTTTCTGGCGCTCGAGAGTCCATGTTTTCTAGGTGATCCTAAGAAAGCACAACTCATACCCAAGCATCTGTGGGTACATTTTACGAACATGTGACGCACTTCCTTATAGTTTGCACCTGCGATTGCAAATCGTGGAACTACTGAACTCGCTTAAAATGCTGACAGCAATCGGCACTCGGAACCCTCATTGGTAGCTCGCTCTTTTTCAGGCGATTCGGGAGGCTCCGCGCACTTCATTTATTTGATATAGCAACTCGTGATCTATCAATAATATTGACATGTGTCCAAATCTTATCGCGCGATCAGCGAGTTGCTTTTGTCTCTCAGTAGGCGGCCCCAAGACCTGACGAGTGATGTTGCAATGTTCAAACTTGCTGGTTTTCATCAGACGCTTTCCCTGCCTTGATTTTCGACTTTGCATCGAAAACCTTCAAATCCGCGTGGTAGTGCGGCCGCAACGTATTGATTTTGACGGCCAATGCATTTGCATCCAAGACACTTGCAACGTGGGCATAGCCAGCACTTTGCGGACTTTGTCTAGCGGCCGCCCGCGAAAGAAGATGAGGCCTCCGCCAGAGCTGTTGACGTAACTCAAAAGCACGCGTTTGTGGATAGGCTCGCCTTTGACCGCCAAGTCCGACGTGTCCTCGAAGATCCATTGTTCTCCGAGGTGTTCGTGCGGCAATCGCCGCTTTGGCACAATTGGGCGGCCGCCTGCGTCAAGTGTAACTCTATTCGAGTTCACCGCGTGGTAAAACTCCAATGTTACTCTTCAGGCCTCTGAGGCGCGGTTGCAGCACGAAGACCGCCTCTACATAGGGTGCGTGGTGGTGCATGGCCATCCCATAGGTTGCACGGCGACGCTCGCAGATAAAGGCAAACTTCATCAACGATGTCCTTCCTGCCTGGTGTTCGTAGCGTAGTAGTTCGCTGCGATTTGCTCCACGGGGGGAACTCGCGCACTCTTGAGTCCTTAGCCGGCATTTGGGTAGTGGCTTCAACCATCAACGAACTTGCCTGGGTATCTGGCACACGAAGGTTGCACGGCATGCATCAGGATGCCGGGCAAGCACGACGCCCAGCGTTCCCTGCCGGACCTCAACCAGGACCATCCACGCCCAGCGTTGCCTCAACCACAACCATCCACGCCCAGTGTTCCCTGCCGGACCTCAACCGCGAGCTCCAGGCCCAAGTGTTCCCTGCCAGACCTCAAACACACAACCACAACCACACAACCACAAACACACAACCACAAACACAACAACAAACACACAACCACAACCACAACAACAAACACACAACCACAAACACAAACACAAACACAACCACAAACACACAACCACAAACACAACCACAAACACAACAACAAACACAACCACAACTTCAACTACAAACACACAATCACAGCCACTACCAGTACCGCAAACACAAACACACAGCTACAAACACAAACACAACCACAAACACACAGCCACAAACACAACCGCAAACACATCCACAAACACACAATCACAAACACAACCACAACCACAACACAGCACACAACCACAACCACAACACACAACCACAGCACACAACCCGAGGACCCACAAGCAACATCGAGAACTACAATACTCACGACCATGGCAACATGCTCCTCACTATGGCATCAAGACAAATGATTGAAATGTAATGGTGGGGATCACTCGAAGTAAAGTGATTGTCTAGAGTCTATATATATATATATTATCTTCCGAAGATCTTTGATTCGATTTTCGCCCGCTGGGTCCGTCACCTGGCACAGGGACCCCTCGGTCCGGAGCTGCGAGGTCTCGGCCCTGGAGGGAGGGGCGATGGGACTCTTTGGGGACTGTCTCGGTCTTAGCAGGTCTTGGAATTACAGAAATCCAGGACTCCTTGGAGTAGCAAGGACGCTACGAACGGGGCTCCTGGCCTTACTACGAACGGAGCGTTCGGACGCTACGAACGGAACAAAGGGCATCGCTACGACGGAGCGTGCGGACGCTACTGATGGTTCATGACGATTCATGGGGTACTTCACCACCGTTGGCCTCTTTGGGATTCTTTTGGGGCTCTTCATAGACGCAAAGAGGAAAACCATCGCTTCATCCATAGGGGCCCTAATAGAAATCAATGCTCTTTTTCAGGGTGCTTTGAATGCAGGCTGTGCGCAAAATGATATACACTATAAACCTTACATGGACAAGCACCTTCAGCTGTCCAACTGAGGCACCTTCAGCTGTCCCCAACTGGTTGGCGCATGTGGCAATGGTCGGGTTCTTTTTTCACACCTCTGGGCTCCACCAACGGCCCGAACCCACCTCCAAACGATACTCGACCTGCACCAGCCTGGCGAATGCCGGTCAAACTGCGCAGGGCGTCGCAGACTGCCCAGCACTGCCACTGAGCCCAGTACCCCAAAAACCATCCAAAACCATGAAAAACATCGCCCCTCCGATCAGGAAGGTTCACTGCTGAGAGTAACTGGTCGCATATTGGTGGAATTTGATAGATCAACTTATTTCTTGGAGAATTTGCCCCGAGGGGCGAGTGCAAAATCAGCAGTTCTGTTGACGGTCGCCAAGGGTTTGGTGATGTAGAGGATTTGGGATGTTTTCGGTGTTCATCATGGGCGCACATGGTGTACTCTTGACTCAGTTCACCTGTTGATGGCACACGATCAGTAAGCCACCCAAAAGCCCGCAAGCCGCAAGCCGCTTGCCATCATCGATCCACCCTGCATGACCACTCACCGGTCACTCACTAAGTCAATGACCACTGACGTGACCTCGCAATGATTGCGCTATACGTATAGATGTTTCGCAAGGGATCTCCACTTATCCCTTCCTTTTTTTCACACCCCCAGAATCCACACCTGAACTGAACCGAACCGATCTGAGCGCGATGGTGTTCACCGCCCCTCCACTCGCTCCGCCCCTCCACTCGAAGCCTGCCGGACATCTGCAACACCTTGCTGTCCAGATCGGCCAGCTGCGCCGAACTCGGTCGATGCGGCGGTCAGCACCGGTTGACGGTCCACCGGTCAGTGGTCCAATCGGCTGAGCCTCCTCCATCATTTTGGTTGGGAGAAGGTGAAGCCAGGTGAAGCCCTTTTTCCACCAGTACCCCACAAGTGGAAGGGCTGTGAGGTGCCGGGCGGACAGTTCGCAAGTTGCTGTGACAAGGCTAAAGCCCTGTTTGTCCTCTTTTTGCAAAATAAAATCAGGCAAACTGCGATGTCGCTGGAAACCAGTGGTTCCAGTTCCAACCATAGACCGAAGGAATATTGTTCCTGAAAAAGGAGTAGCTGCCTGGAATCTGGGGTGAACCTCGAATGTCCTCAATCCTCCGAACGAGCAGGTGTTTTTTTTCCGCTGAACTGCTGCCAGTCGGCTGCCAGTCAGCTCTTCAGCAAATGAAGTCCGATCTTCCAGGAGCTGTCCAGATCGAACCGCCCACCGCGAGAGGCGCGGACACCGAGAGGGGACCGGTTGCGCTCGCGCGGACAGCGCGGACAGCGCGACGAGAAGGAGTGGACCGGTTGCGCTGGAATCATCCGTCGAGGTATGTTGGGGTCTCCAAAGGATGGTTGCAAAGAACCCCCATGTTCCACTGTTCACGAATTATACAAGCTACCCTCAATGCCTCAGCCAGCCCATTTGCACAGTTTTCTGTTGATCCCATTGTGTTGTTTGATCTTTGGATGGTTCTTGATGTCCAGCTTACGGCGAGATAACCCCTCATGGAATAACGCGGCAAACGCAAAGAGAAGCACGCTGCTCAGTCGACCAATGTATCACAGGGTCGAACTTTGGAATGTCGAAGTGGGCAAGCAAAGTAAGCACCTTTGTCAAGCCTTTCTCGTGAGGTGCTTCACCGAGAAATACCCAGAGGGTGCATCTTTTTTCAACACCCGTGCAATCTGCGTGGTTGAACCAAAACTTGCGTAGACCATGGATGGTCTCGTCTCCTGGCTAGATCGACCCCTGTCTGACATGCTGCGAAATCATGCAAAATCCCATGAATGACCTGCACCTCACCCATGCAACATTCCTCAGCTGGGTCCCCCCTGCCAGGTGTCTGCCTGCAGCTGCAAGTCTTTGAAGCCTGGAAAGTCCTCACGGCTGTGGGCGTCTCTGACGCGTTTGCACGTTTCTCCGCTGAACATCTCCTTTCAAACATGTACATTTACCCTAGGCCTCCAAGTACCTTCTGAGAATGTGTTTGGGGTGGGTGTCAGGAGGGTCCAAATACCTTCTGAGGAGGTACTTGGAGGTGTAGGGTTATGGATCGGGACACAGGCAGTGGTCCAGCAGTGGTTCGGTGTTTCTTCCAGGTGTCGGTGACGTCGATGCCAATCATTCTTTGGTGCCGACGAAGTCTCTATGAACCGAAGGTCCCAGTCTGCATCTTCACGAAGTTCCCATGTAGACCCTTGATTCATGAAAACCCCAAATATGAGAGTCCACATTAAGCATCATCTAGTTTATGTTTTATCTTCCGGGTGCGGATCAATAACCTCGACCTCCACAACCCTACTTGCTGCCGATGTAATTGTCCAACTGTTACTATGTTGTTACAGTAGCGTCATGTAGCGGAGGCGGACGTGACTCCTCCACAACCCCGGTTGGTTCGTCATGTCCGGAGGCGTCCAAGATGCTCCATGCCGAGAAGGGCGAGTCCCAGTGGTTGGCCCAGCAAGATGTCAACCCCGAATAAATTCGGAGGGGTGTTCCATTGAGCCATCTGATGATGGTGGGTCAAGAACTCACCAAGTGGATCCAGTTAGCACTAGAATAGGTCACCATGCGTTTCAAAGACTAAAACCACAGGCCTAGAAGCACCGCTGTTCACACTCAAGCAAAGATCGTCTATACCTCCACTACACAAAGAAACACCCATGGTGGTCCCTTCGAACAGTGCGAGGTTTTTGTTGAGATCTGGACAACTGGGAGCCCAACTCGGACTGCCAAAATGGGATTGCCGGGGCTCCCACATGGACCCCTGGCCTTTTCTCAGCAAAGATGGCAGTGCCGTGGAGTATCTGGGTATCATGGCACCAGAAGACCCAAAAAGGGCACGACCGCTGACAGCCCCGGCCGCTGGTGTTTTTCTCATTCGCCACATGGTGGATTGGTCGGGCTCCAGATTGAACGACCCATCCCCAAATAATCTTGGTGGGCGTTGATATATCCCTATGGATCCACATACCTTCGGAGAAGGTGATTGGAGACTATTTATGTAGGCTTGGATTACCTTCTGAGAAGGTATGTGGATCCATAGGATACATATATACATATATAGACGTTGGGAGCAGGCATCATCATGACTATCGTCGTCGTCCTCCTCATCATAGGCTACAGGGACTAGGACTGCCGGACTGCTACAGGGCTGTTCCACCTCTCTAAGGATGACTTGCCCGTGAAGTGTCTCCTTGATCCCCTCCTCTGCAGCCGAAGCCTGCCGAGTCCGCGCTTGGGCTCCCAGTGGTTTCGCAGTGGTTTCGTCTGGCCTTTCCAACCAGTCTTGGGGGTTACCATAGCTGCGCCATAGCGAACATGGACATGGAAATGGAACTAGCAATGGAATGGTTTTCATTTTAGGATGCTTTAGGGTTTGAAGTTGCTTATGGACATGACAAGCTTGACAAGAACTGATAGAAATGTCACTGCCAGTGGGGAGAGCGCGCTTGCCAATTGCACTCTCACAGAAGCATTTCTGTCACACACGTCCCACCGTTGAAACATCAGGGACGCACTGTTTCCACTGGGTGAAACCAACGTCGTTAAGACACTGTACCAGTACTTGGTTTGACAGTAACAAGTTTGACAACATACAACATAAAAAGAGTTCAAGTTCGCTATACCTCTAAAGACACACACAAAATAGACATATCATATTACAAAAAGTAGACACATGCATGTATAATTGTGTATATACTATATATATATATTAAAAATACTAGTAAAATACAGCCGTGTACATATTGCATATAATTGATGTTTGAAAATAAGAAATGACACTGACTTCTTCAAAGTATGGGACAAATTCCAGCCCTTACTGTTGCTCAAGACTTGAGTGAACAGGTCGCAAGAATCGCGACAGGTGCAAAAACATCGTCGGCAGATGTTGGCTTTTCGAGAAGGGCTCCGGAACATGCAAGGCCTAAAACTGGCTTCCAGCAAATGCAACCTTCGCATGCCTTTGCAATGTTTGCTTGACAGGCCCATTCAAAAAGAAGTCTCGGTGTATATATAGGGGAATGAACTCAAAAGCTCTGTTCCGGGCTTCTCAAAAGCAGGGCTCCGTTACAAGAAAGGATAAGAAAGGTATTGCGCATGCAAGCTCATATGAACAGTCAACAGCACCCGTCCAAGCACGCATGCGATGCTGAGGGAAGGGAAATCAATGTGTGGCAATTCTTCCGCTGAAAAGCAAGGATTCGGCTGTAAACCTCACAGCCTTCAACCTGGGAACACCCCGCTCACCTGGCCTGGTCCACTAAGTCCACTGCACGCCCCCTGGCGGTGGATTTCTGGGAAAGCCCCACACATCAACACACCCTTCATGTCACTATAGAGTCAAAAACAAGAGACCTAAACGCTGGTAGGTTGCCCTTCCTAGTAGTCTATTCTGTTTATTTTCCGTGGTCAGCAAGTTCTTCAAGGAGCTCCCACGTCCGAAGTTGTGCGCGACTTCCGCCCAATACAGGCAACTTGTTTCCGCCCCTTCGGAAGGGGTGGATCTCTATTCTTCATCAATGTTCTTCAAGACTGCCAGAGATGTGAGGCTCAACTACACCGACTAACCATCGCCCCCTGAAGGCTGTTGTTGAAGCTTGGTGGCTGGATGGTGACGGCAGACCAAGAGTGCTCAAGTCGAACCACCGGTGGTTTCGTCGGAACCCCGGGATACCATATGATTTCATACTGTCCAAGCAAAGGCAAAGGTTTTCCAGTCCGTCTCTCTTGAACAAAATGATGACCGCACTTGAAGTAGTATAATCCGCTTGGAGTGCCGCGCGATTATAGAGTACTAAAGACTCACTTCGTTCGCAGAAAAGAACTTCTAGCATCTTCTAGCCTATCGGCCGGCTTCCGTACTATGAGTCGCACATGCTTCTCACCCAAACACTCCATGACTGGAATATATGGCTACATTGACCCCCCTATGGATCCAAGTACCTTCTCAGCAGGTGATTGGCGACACTGTTATGTAGGTTTGGAGGGTCCAAGTACCTTCTGAGAAGGTATGTGGATCCATAGGTACCTAAAAAGGGCTGCTCAACCAGTGTAATGTATCTCCTCAGTCCCGTGGAGTGTCTCAGTCACCTCGACTCCGCTCCGCACCGGATGAGGTTCTGCAAGGACTCGGCCAGACCATCCACCTCGGGGTTGACGTGTGATTCATCCACAAGGAATGGAACACCTGGTCATGTATGGCCATATTTGGCTGATCTGTAATTATCCCAGAAATATTCAGGGAAAGCACTGTGGCGATAGCTGGTCACCAGTAGTTCCCTTAGAGTTAGAGTGGCTGCCTAGATCCTCTTGGTATTTATGGAGGCCCCCAACCGCCCCCATGGATCATCCATCTCAAGAATCCTTTTTGCAGGAGCGAACGTCTCCCCGCTGGCTGGCCGCGGAGGCTCGGGTTCTTGCTTGTGGCGTGCGGAGATTCTGTGTGGAGGTGGTCTGGAAAGTCCTCTCGCAACCTCTCAACCTGGAACGGGGGGGGGGTTGGCGACTTCCGCCCATGCCGCGGCTTCCTGCCACTTCACGGTGAGTCCCTCACAACCGGCGCCAACCGGGGCACCTCGTTAGAATAGGTGCGATGGGGTCTTTCCAAAGACAGAGACAGCCAGGTGGTGAAAGCTTTTGAAGCAATTGATGCAATCGAACTCATGTGAACGCCATTCCCTTCCAGAACGGCGTAAGGTCCACAGAAGAACCTAGCGTCCCCTGGGTCTCCCCGCTTTGCGTCCCCTGTGACTGCAGCATGACGGTTAGACCCTTCGTCCAACGCAGTCCAAACCCTCCGGTCCGTCTCAAACACTCCAGCCCTCACGAGACAGCCGATGGGATTCACTTTGGTCGCCTTTTGCCCCTTCATTCTCCCCTTCGTTTTTTTGTTACCATTGTGACCCAACAGATTAACTCCTAGAGACAATTTACCACATTTGACCCCTGAAAACCACCACCCCAGATGGATCTTAAATGTTTGGCATCCCATGGGTCTGACGGTCCTGAGTTGCCGCACGTGACCCTGCAGCTCGGCCCAGCGTCCACTGGAAGCATTCGCACTCGCCACCTGTCGCACAGGGGCACGACGACGACGTCAGGACGTCAGGCCGATGGAGGCCCCAGGCGGTCAGGTGAAACGGAAGCCCTCTTCAGAGGTCTTGATGCAATTCCATCTGTCGGAGCCCCTTTCTCTATTGGGTGATTCGAAACGGAGAGGACACCGGAGAGATCGATCCATGGGAGTTGAGTGGTTGATGTAAAAAAAGTGAAGCTCCCAAGCTGATGACAAAGTCCTGAAGAACTCCATCAAATCGCGAAAAGGGGCCTTCTGAGTTCTCCATCTTGTCTTAGTGGTTGTGATTGCGAATCACCCAAGTGTTCAAGCTAGTCCCAAAGATGAAAACTGGAGAGGAAGATATCATGAGAAGCACCCCAAACTGATCGGAAAATGTTGCCACTGTCATAGAGTAGACTTCCAGGTCTTTTCCCTTCCATCCCTTCCATCCCTTCCATCCATCCTCTCTGGTCCCTTCCATTCGTCCCTTCCATCCGTCCTACTTCTCTTGTTCTCGTCCCGCCCTCCCGTCCTCTCCTCCTCAATCCGCCGCTCCAAACGCTCGATGCGTCGCTCCACTTGCCGTCGCTCCATCTGCGGGCGGCGGAAGAGTCCGCGGCGGTCTTTCAGCGCCCAAGGAGGCCTTTAAAGAGGCTTTTTGGGAGGCCTTGTCGGCCGGTCTTTCAGTGTCCCTAACCGTCTATATAGCCTATAGGGATCATTAGGGAACCACAAACCTTATCACGTTCGATACGACTGGCCCTGGCGCCACATCAATGTGTTTCCAAGCACCCTCTCAAAGGGTGGCAGATCCACCATAGGGTGGCAGATCCACCATAGAATTCAACGATTCATTGAACTATTCTTGGATTGAACCAATGAGTTTGGGATTGTTGCTGCCCTTCCCACATGCAAACAACAAAACCAACAATGATCTGTGGTCATCAAAATATGAAATATGCCCTATATTCCACAACAACAGTAAACCATGGCAGTGACAGTTGGTGTTTTCAAACAGGTTTGTTGCTTTCAAATGATGGTGGGTGAATCGAACGTTGATCTTGGTCGTCATGTTGTTCCTAGGTTGGACAACTGTATAGGTCCACTGGAAAGGTCCACATATCTCCTGGAATACATTTGCCTCCTGGTAATAGTCTTCCTAGTGTGTGGCTGCGTGGCTGTTGGCATCCCGGAGGCTGTGCCTTTTTCTGGCATCACGCATTCTATTATTGCACTTTGAACCACTATGTACCTATACTACAGCTGTCCAACCTAGGAGCAACATGACTCCTATAACTCCAGGCATCCAGAAGATGTGTGAACTTTTCCAGTGGACCTATACAGTTGTCCAACCTAGACACAACATGACAACCAAAATACAATTGATTCACTCACAAACCCAGTTTTTACATCCTCATCAGTTGAGGAAGGTGATGTACTGCACCCAAGTCACGCCAGTCCCTCCACATGTGCACCATGAGCCTTGATTGAATCAAATTCACCTCTGCATCGAAACGGGCCTAAAAAGGTATATATCATAGAGTAATAGGCCAGTTTGCCGAGATGGCTAAGTCTTGCACGGGGTGGGCCCCCAGCCCTTTTTCGGTGAAATGGACCCAACACCGTCAATGGCTTGAGGTATGTTGCAGACTTGAATGTTGCAGTTGCAGGTGGCTACCATTTCACACAGGGATGGTCGAGAACTGACAGACACACTTGGATAGAGGCTCGCAAGAGCCGGATCGGTTGCGAAGGTCCACTCTAGTGATTGAATTGCCCGTCTAGAGCGCTGGAAAACCTGCGACACGAGAAACAGCCCTGAGAGGAACGGAAAGGTGGAATGTCAGCATTAATATATGGTTTACATCATGTGATGAGAGCAGGTACGTCCAGAAGGCGTCCCTTCCGGATATCAGCCACAATTGCAGCCCTCTTCGTTGGACAATCGACTGCAACGTGGGATTGCCCCCCTGCTGGGTCTGTACAACTTGTGACTATATAAGTGCTAGAGGAAAAATCAAAACAAAACGTAGTTGGTTAGTTAGTTAGTTAGTTAGTAGTGGTGTCAGAAGCCCTTAGGGACAGGGCTTGACACACGCACACACACTTCGATATGGTTCATTCAGTAAAGATAATCCACAAGAGAAGGGATGAGGGAACGGCAAAGCGGAGAATTCATCTCACTCGAAATGTTGACATCGTTTTCAGAGAATCGAAATAGTTACTGAATATACTTAGCAGTCTTGAACTAAAGCCGTGCATAGGGGAGTAGGTTCGATAAGGAAGCGAGACAAAGGAATCGCATCAAATAGGTAGAAAAGGAAGTGAAGCCTTCTGTTGTATAGCTAGAAAAAGGAAAAGAAACCTCCTGTTTATAGCTAGGGGGCGAGACTGACGAATCGCCCCATAGGGAAGGACAACAGAAGGAAAGGAACCGACGCACACAGTCCACCGAGGAACCTAGCCTTGCGTTATCAATCAGGTATGCAGGTACATCAGTGGGCGCCCCAACCGACATCAGTGTTCAATGCAAGCCTCTTCGTTGGGCTGGTACTTGCGATGAGCAACCAGCCCCCCTGCCTTTAATCTAGCGAGAAAGTTCCCTTAGGCACAGGCTTTGACAAACACGGGCAGCCACTTTGTGGCGCGCAGTTGCAGAGACAGTGATTACTTAGCACTTGACTTGCATTCTCAGCCCTTGACTAAAAAGAAAAAACCATATTACACACCTGAAAAGCTTCTAGCAGAAAAGCAGATAAACGAACAGGCAAGAGAGAAAAAACACAAAAAAACTGATGGGCAGGGAATCGAGCCTCAAGGGCCACCTGACAAGCCTGAAAGAACACCTAACAAACGAAGAAAGCGCAAGAGAGAAAGCGGGAGGGGGGAAGGGTGTGTGTGTGTGTACATGTGTGTGTAAACCGTGAGCCCGGCGGCATCGAATCCGTGAGCCCGGCAGCATAGGGTTCGGTTGGTGCATTGGTGAAACAGAAAAAGCATACCATAATCCACGAAGCAAAACGCTAAATCGTGCCAGAATTCACCGTCGTTTCGGCGCCCCTTGCGGGGGATCACACCATGCACCCAAGTGGGAAAGCGCAGCAAGACACACTTCGATATGGTTCATTCAGTAAAGAATAATCCACAAGGAAAGGGGTGAGGGAACGGCAAGGCGGCGGAGTCAGCTCACTTGAAATGTTGAACATTGTTTTCAAATAATCGAAGTAGTTGCTGAATATTTAGTAGTCTTGAATTAAAGCCGTGTATAGGGGAGTGGGTTCCATAGGGAAGCGAGACAAACGAATCACTTCAAGTAGGTAGAAAAGGAAGTGAAGCCTCCTGTTGTATAGGTAGAAAAAGGTAAGGAAACCTCCTGTTTATAGCTCGGGGGCGAGACTGGCGAATCGCCCCATTAGATAGATAGGGAAGGACAGCAGAAGGAAAGGAACCGACGCACACAGTCCGCCGACGAAGCCTTTCCTTCCGTTATCCATTAGGTATGCAGGTACATCTGTGGACGTCCCCACTGACATCAGTGTTCGATGCAAGCCTCTTCGTTGGGCTGGTACTTGCAATGAACAACCAGTCCCCGTGCCTTTAACCTAGCGAAAAAGTTCCCTTAGGCACAGTGTTTGACACACTCTGACACTTGTATTCAGTGACTCAGTTTCCACGATGGGAAGGAAGGTGAGGGAAACGTAAGGTGAAAAAGTCAGCGCAATTGAAATGTTTAACAATCTGTTCACTCATCTGCAGAAAAGCGGCTGAAAGTCGGCGGCTGAAGGCAGCGGTGGGAAACTGGTTTGG